GTTTTTACAGACATGATAGCAAAAGTCACAGGGGTGTTTATTTTCAAGGGGTGCTTATTTTCACGATTTTACGGTAGTATGTATGCTAAAAACATTATATAATAACAAAAGATATTGGGATATTATAGTATGTGCTGTGTCAATTCTAATATTGCGATAAAATTTCTAGTTATTCTCGAATGTTTCCGTTTAGACGAACCATACTCATTGCAAAAAAAATTTTAAATTAAGTACAGTAGATAATACGGAAATTTATATTCTTCAAATAAAAAAAAAAAAAAAGGACGAATACGGTTCTAATAATAACCAGAACAAAAAATTTCGCCTTTCTTACTACAAAAGAAGGTTTGAAAGTTGAAAGGCTTTAATCAAAAATTTTAATCTGATAAATGAAATTAAAATTTATGGGATTTACTTGACACGTGATAGGTATTTCGGTATATATTAAAGAAAAAAAATTATATCACTAATTTTGCCTCCTTGTGGATTTTTTTTTTTTCGACATGGATCCAGCAACACCAAGAGAAGTAGCCGAGCATTCAGCGCCGGAACTTCCGTCTCCCTCGTCAGACGCAGAAAAGGTAAAAGTTGATCCAGATCAAAAAAGTTTACCTCTAATCTAGAAATATTCAATTTGTCTTTGGTTACATATTTTTTTTAAAAAATTAGATCAGATTAAAACGTTTAGCAAAGCTTCAACAAAATAGTCCAGACAACTCTGATGGAACTTCAAAGACTTTTGCGTCGCCTTCTAGTACGGCGTCTGCTCAATCACTTAGTTCTCCGACTTCGCTCAAAAGTAAAAGTAAACAGCTACAACAACAAAAGGATAAGGGAAGTTTGGAACCTATGGTGAGAGCAATAACTTAAGTTTTTACTATTTGTATTTCTAATGCTTATGTTCAGTTTATAGTATACTTTGCAAGAGGGCATTTAGTTTGGCTATTCTTATTTAGAACTTGTTTGAAAGAGTTTCAAATTGTTAATGAATTAAATCTATTAAGCTCAGAATTCGAAGTTATTTCTTCCTTTACTTAGAATATGTATTCTTTGTTTTTTACTTATTATCTCAAAGAATACTACATCGGTTTCACCAAAACCAAAACAGCCTGTTAAATCCTTTGAAGATTGGCAAAATGATGTCATCTCCAAAATTCTTCAAATTACACTTGATGTAAGTTGGTTAACATTAAGACTTGGTTGGGATGTGTCATAATTTTTAATACGATTTAATATTTTTGTAATAATAAAAAAATATTATATAACAATTAATCCATAATAAAATTGACAAAAATTAATCTATTATTCTTCATTTTGATGTGTATTTTTTTCTTTTCTTTTTTCATTTATTTTATAAACTACTGTCCTTTCAAAGAAATCATCGGCCGAAAAAAGTGACTCTCAATTGATTTATCTATATTCCCAAGTTGCGGAGTTAAAGGAAGAGGATCCTGGTATGAATAAATTCATGCGGCAATTGCCTCTTCCTATATCTCGCTTATTTTGATTGGTTTTATTTTTTTTATAAATCTAATACCAAGATTGGATATTATGAACAGAAAAGACATCATTCAAATTATCACAATCCCTTCTTGAAAGTACTCTAGTTGCTCGATTATCTATTAATCCAGATCAAATGAGTGATGATGAAGAACATGTTCAGGCTATTTCGAAATTGCCTCGTACACCCATATTTGATTATTTGCTGGACAGCTGGAAACGAACAGTTGAGATTAAGAAAAACTTGCTAACACGCGCCTCTAAGGTATATAAATATTTTATTTATAAAAAAAATTAAAGGATGTTCGTGAATTAATAATCGTATTTATCCTAGACATTAGAACCTTCAATTATTAACGAACGAGTTAATGTCTTGGATGCAATAAAAGATCTATTAGTAAACTATGCTGGATTAATTATTCAATATCCTGATATGTTCCCACAAGTAAATAAGTAGGTAGCTCTTCTGGATATAAGAATATTCACTTAAAGTTTATTTTATGTAAATAAACTTGATGTATTTTTTTTTTATTTATTGCTTAGTCCAATAAATTTAGGTCCACAACAGCTCGTTCCAAGACTATTGGCTGATGTTAATACTACTGAAGGATTACCTTGGGACTTTATTCAGGAATTGTCTGCAAAAATTGATGAGGAAGGATTTGAACAAGTTAAAAGAAATTAAAAATATCATCTAACTTTTAATAATAATGTGTGATTTTAAAGTTATAATCAAATATTTTCTATAGGTTTTTGGACAAGCTTTAATTAGTTTGTCGGCTCAAATGCGTTCGAAAAAAATCTTAGACGATTATTTAAAACCACTTAATGCATGTTGTTTAAGTATTTGATTTCATTAAGATTCATTTTATTTAATATGATTACTTATACTATTCTTTAATTTAGTGTTTACTAACTCTAACAGAGATCAAATCCCTGGCAGCGATGGTAAAGCGATCAACTCATTTTTTTTTTTTTAAAAAAAAAAATCAATATTAACTTTCAAATATATAAGATACCAACACTACGAAGCTGGAATCCTTCCGATTTGACTGCCAAAACGCTCGAAGTTATGTCTCTTTTAGGTCCATTTTGTCGGTTATCTGTTTTCCCATTGGACGAGGTTTTAAATTATTTATATATTTATTATTAATATTATTATGACATTATGAAATTTAATTCTGATTTGATTACAGCCAACTATAGCAGAAAGCTACTTTAGTAACGTTCAACAAAGAAGTAAAGCTGATGTGGATTCTGCTATGATAAGTCTGAGAGGTGCTATACAAGGAGTACAGGTTAAATATAATCAGATCGTTATTTTATTTATATTTTTATATATATATTAACCTTAATTAATACGTAACTGCATTACGGGAATATAATTTCAGAAATCTCTCTTTAATATATTTAATAATATTGTACGTTCTTCACCGTCTTCAAGAGAAGCTGTACTTTCTTATTTTGCCACAGTTATTAAATTGAACGAAAAAAGAGCACAAATGCAGGTTCATATCCATATTATATTAAATTTACACTTAATGAATAATGTTAATAATAATTAAATAATAATTTCAACATCACTTATCAACCAATAGGTTGATACTTCGCAAGTAGGATCCGATGGGTTTCTAACGAATCTAAGTTCTATATTATTAACTTTCGCTGATCCTTTTATGGGTTATACTAAGGTAGTTAAGATTTTAATAATGTTATTCAACTTTATCAATTTCTAATTTTTTTTTTTATAATTAAAGATCGATCGTATCGACGTTAATTATTTCCGAAAGTCGAAGCGAATTGATATTAGTCAAGAAACAAAAATCAAGGCAACTCAACAAGAATCAGACGCATACTATGCTTTGGCAAATGAGAACGGTTAGAAATTTTGAGTAATCTGTGCTGTTTATTTGGATTTATTAAGACTCGATATTTTATATATTTTTATATTGTTTACATGCAGAATCCGCAAATTTCATATCGGAAATTTTTTTTATCACCTTAGCTATGCATCATTACGGACCATTGCAATGTTATGATAATTATAATAATCTGAATAGAGATCTTATGGAATTACAAAAACAGTATGATGGGATGAGAGCTGATCAACCAAACTGGGCAGGGGTAAATATCTGAATTTTTCTGTGTTTTGAGTGTTATAATTTTCCTTTTAACCGTTAATGTAGACTCCAGCTGCCGCAATGAATGAAGTTCTACTAAACCGATGTAAAGTAAGTTATTTGTATAATAAGGATTGTATACAAACATATATATTGAATATTTTATACATTTTAGGATCAACTCGACAAATGGGCTGCGCATAAAATAGCGTATGATTCTCAATTGCTAGACCCAGAATCTTTATCCCATTCACTACAGTTTTATAACTTAGTGATTAATTGGGTGTTAAGAATTGTTGATCCTACAAGTCAACATCCTAAAAAACAAATTAGGTATTTCCTAAAAAGTTGAAGTTTATTTATCATCTAGATCTTCTCTTAATTTTTTTCCTGATATATTTTTCAAGCTTACCTTTACCGCAAATCCCTCCAAATGAATTTATTATGTTACCTGAATTTATCATTGAAGACGTTACCGAATTTTTCTTGTTCATTTCCAGGTATATATTTTTGTGATTATGGTTATAAATACTTGTATTAACAAATAAATTAATTTATATGACATAGATATAATCCCCGAGTAATTCTTTCTGGCTCGCGTGACGAACTAATAATTTTCATTATCACTTTTCTTAAATCTTCGTCATATATTAAGAATCCATATTTGAAAGCAAAGTTTGTAGAAGTAAGGATTTGCTTTCTTCCTAATTCTATGTAATTCGACTTGAGGTGATTCATATCAAACATTTCTTTCTAATATTTGCCATTATCATTAGATCTTGTTCTATTACACATCACGAAATGAAAATGAAGGTGGTATGGGGGTTATATTAAATTCACATCCTATTTCTTTGGAGCATTTAATGTCATCTTTAATGACATTTTATGTTGGTAAGTTTATTTTTTTCTTTCTGTTTTACGTATATGATCTTAATTTATAAATTAATTTTTTTTATAATAAATTTTTAGAGGTGGAACAGACTGGAATGCATTCCCAATTTTATGATAAGTTCAATATTAGATATAATATTTCACAAATATTCAATTCAATATGGAATAATCAATTGCATAGAGATAAATTAAGAGAGGAAAGTCGGTTAGTAAACTATTCAACCAAATTTCAAATTTCAGATATACACTCTTTTAACATAACGTAACCGATATTCTTAACAGAAAAACAGAATCCTTTGTAAAATTTGCTAATTTATTAATGAACGATGCAACTTATCTCCTGGATGAGAGTCTTAAAAAATTGGTGGAAATTCGTAATGTACAAAATGAAATGAGTGACACCGCTGAATGGAATAGGCAAACTCCAGTAAGAAAAAGTCATTATATTATTTTTTTTTTAAAAAAAAAATTACTTTTTCTTATTAACAAATCATTGTAAAGCAACATCGTCAAGAACGCGAAGGTTTGCTTCGTTCTCTTGAACGACAAGCTACATCTTATATGGCTCTCGGGAATGAAACAGTACACATGCTTTCATATATGACGTCAGAAGTAGCCGAACCGTTTATCACACCTCAAATTGTCGATCGGTTAGCAGCAATGTTAGATTATAACTTGGATTCACTTGTTGGTCCAAGATGCACTGAACTTAAAGTTAGAAATCCTGAAAAATATCGATTTCAGCCTAGAACTTTATTACAACAACTGATAACTGTATATTTGAACTTATGTAAAAGTAAAGAATTCGTACAAGCAGTTGCTAGAGATGGTAGAAGTTATAAGAAAGAATTATTTAAAAAGGCGTCAGAAATCTTGACGAGATACGGTTTGAAATTAGATAGGGATGTTCAAATTTTAGATAAATTTGTCAATGATGTTGAGGAAGTAATTAAATTGGAAGCGGCAGACTTCGAAGAGTTGGGAGACATACCGGACGAATTTTTGGGTAAGTTTAAATTAATATTACCAGTTTTTTACTGTAATCAACTAATAAGGTTACTTTATATAAATGCTTAAAATTTAGATCCGCTTATGTATGAAATAATGGAAGATCCTGTTATTTTACCTGAATCACGAGTTTCTATTGATCGTAAATCTATTACGACTCATCTTTTAAGCGATGCTACGGATCCTTTCAACAGAAAACCCTTAACAATAGATGAAGTTATTCCAAGTATATATTTATATATTCATCTTTTATATTTTTATTTAAGTCATATATTTGAGCTAACATATTCATTTATATAATCATAGACACGGAATTAAAAGAACGAATTGAAGCTTTCAAAAGGGAAAAAAGAGAAAAAAGAAATATTTGATATACATTACTTTTTTAAGTTTACAGGATAACTATATTATAATCTCATAGTCGTTAAAAAAATGAGTTGACATTTTTTTTTAATATTTTATTTTTTTTTATTGTATTGATCTGAAATATCAAAGTTTCAAAAAATATTTAAATTATTACATAAATTTAGTCATAAAATATATAAAATACATTGACGTGAAAAATTTTTTAAATCTGTTAGATCTGTTGTAATTGATTTACATAAACGTAACACTACATGTTTTCAATGCTTTTTTACTAATTTTATGTTAATTTATAATTAATTTATAATTATAGTTTAACTTCATTATGAGGAGAAACACATTAATTAACTAATGTATTACAACATTGACAATAATCCTAACATTAAATTAATTGTCCTGTTATGTTGTGCAAGAAAATGTTTCTTTAGCATTATTAATAAGAAAAATATACATACAATAATTAGAAAATAATAATTTAAAAAAAAAATATTGTTATCTATAATACACATCAAAAAAAAAAAAAAAAAAAAAAATAACTAACGTAAAATTATCATAAATTTAGGATAAAAAAAAAATAATTGTCCTTTAATTGAAAAATTTATTTATACAATTACATCTTGTTCCGTCTTTATGCGTAATTCATTCCATTTCTTTAATTTTTTACTATAAAAAGGAGGTATCAAACTTAATAAAGATACTATCATCATCTTAATAAGTAAAGCTGGCTGCCATATATCTGCAGTTGAAGTAAGCTCAGATAGAATATTTCCTGCCTGACAACAAGCAAAATTATATGGGATCGATCCAAAAAACATTGAGGCAAAGAATGGACCAATTGGAATGTATAATAATGGTGATGCTAGATTAAGAAGCCTGTTATATATTCAAAATAAATTAATGAATAAATTTGCGATGGTTTTTCTTTTTTTTTTTTAAAAAAAAAAAGGTGACTTACCACCAAGGCGACAAAGGAAACATTCGAATAAATAACAAATAAAAGAACAATCCATCCCTATTTTCTTCGACTTGATTTCTGAGAAAATTCAATTTATCAGATAAATATTGATCCATCATTGGTTGTCCAATAAATTTGCTTAATAGATATGCACATGAAGCTCCTATAGAAGTGAGTAAAGAACTCAATATTGTAGCAGTTAACGGTCCATATAAAGCACCTGCTAAAATGTTCTAATTCAAGATAATAAATATTTTTTTTTTTTAGTTAGCTTTTAGGTCATTGTATATAAAATTTAAAAAATATACAAATATATATATTACTTTACCAGGAATATGGCTCCAGGTATGGAGAATGCCTGTTTCCAAACATAAATTAATGAAAAAACGGTAACTATATGCATATATCCTTCCCAAGTTCCATTGGAATAATTTTCCAATATTATAGCTTGTTTTTTTACTGCCTCAATTGAAGTTGGAAGAGATAAATTTGGTATAGTTTTGACTAACGAAATAATTCCCCAAAGTGATATAAACGCACAGCCAAAAAGAAAAAACATGCGCGGGATAAAATTAATTACTACTGTGCTATGTGCTTTAGTGGCTTTATCATATTCTGACTTGTATTTTTTTGTATCTTCGTTAAAACCCGAGATAACTGGCATTTTAATAAACAAATCATTATGTGATAGCAAGAAAGGATTTTGAAAATTTTTTACTTGCATATTTTTTGTAGACGAAATAAAATGATTTTCTTTTTAAATAATCTATTTTTTATAAGATATTTAGTAGAAAATAAAGAAAATTATGCAAGTTGATCATCATCTCACATGGGTGACGGCGGCAGAATGTTTTACAGTATGAAAATTAAAAAATTGCTGTAAACAGCAAATTGTGATAAGATGTGACAAGATTCATTAGATTCTATTTAGCACTAAATTTAGAAAGTTGAAATATTTTCTCTTTATTCTTTTTTTATATATATATATACAGTAATATATATATATAAAAAAATGAATTTGTTTCTAATTTGTTTAATAATTAATTAGTTTCTTTGATGTAACTGCAACTTATATACATGTTCCTTTTAAACTGTACTGCTAACTGTCTTGTTTTCTTGGAATCTCCATAATTAGCGTTAACCCAGTTAATAATTAATTTTGTGTTAATATTGAATTAATTTATGATTTGTTGCCATACGAATTAAACAATTATCCCGCTTAAAAAAAGCGATTTGAAACGTTAATTCAAAGAAAAAAAAAATTTACACAAGTACTAATAAATTGAAATTTTTCTTTTTCTGATAAATATCAATAAAATTATTTTATGAATTATCTCGTTCTGTATAAAAATTTTTCAGGTACGTTTCTGCTTCTTTATATTCATCTTTAACCCTTTCCAATAAGGTTGAAATTTTGGTGAAAGCGTCTTCCTCAGAGATTGCATTTATCCCCGTCTCGTCTTTCATATGACCAAAATGTTGCATCTTTTCACAAGACGCTTTAACCTTGGTTAACCCAATGGCAGCGGAACTACCTTTCAAGAAATGTCCTAAATTAGACAATTCTTCAAGGTTTCGCTTTTCCCTAATTGAAAACAGTTGATATTGTTAGTCAATTCGTTGTTCACGACAAAAATAAATATAATCTACAAGAACTTAATAAGTGTTGGCTTTTTCAAATAATCGAAGGTTAAAATACGAGATCCAAAAATCAATATCTGGTTTATTCCTTTTTTTATATATTTTAAATTTCGACTTGAAACTATCAGAAAATATCAATCAAATCAAACATAGAAAGGTTCGACACTTCGCTGGAAACAGCTAGACTATTTTATGAATTTATAATCAATTACTTACAAAGCATTATCCATGCTATCAAAAGTTGTTTCCGCTTGTTCGAAATAATTCCAAACTATAGATTTTGAAAAGTCATGGTCTTCGTCGTCGTCCATCTCCAGTAACTGGTCAAATGTTTCGTGATCGATAAGATCTGAATCTGGTGTAGAATGTGCCCTTCCATTTTCTTCGTCCTTGAGAAAAAAATAACGACGTTGTTTTATTAGGTATAGAAGTCGATGGAGGGTTAATTAAAGGATTCGAACATAAATTCAGGAAAAAAAAAACCCGCTAAGACTACTTTAAAGGAGCGTTCAGAGCTTGAGCTTGAAGTTGATGGCATATTTATATTAAACTTTTGTTGATGGTTTATAATATGATAATGATTATTAAAACTGACAGAAAAAAAAGTCATAACAAACCTTTCTCTGTTTCTCAACACTAAGGTTATGCAATTCAAAGGCGCAATGACATCATGGTTCATCAATATTTATATTTATAAATCAGGTTTAATAAACTTCTAGAGGTTACTCGCGAAATTTAAAATTTATCAAATTTATCATATCGTGATCTTATCAAATTTTAATATAAATAAAAATATTAAAAATTATAATAAATAAATCTGATAAGAATATTAAATTAATTAATAATAATATTTCTTAATATAAATTTTTTTAAAAAAATTACTAACAACTAATTTATAATTTTATTTATAGACAAATTATAATAATTTTTATCATTTATTATATAATAAAAATTTTATAAACTAAAATTTGTAATTTTTAAAAGTTTAATAAATTAAGAAATTTAGTAATTAAAATATATGTTTAAATCATATGATTTATTATGTTTTGTAACCTGATTTTAATAATAAACAACTTATATTATTATTATAAAAATTGATTTATTTAAATAAACATATTTTTAATATTTAATTTAAAATTTTATAATCTTTAAATAGATTATTATTTATTTTTTTTTTTTAAGATATGATGTAATATTTATTTATTAAAATTCAGATTCTAAATGTAAAGTATAAAAAAAATCACACAATAAATACAAAAGTAGAAAAAAAAATAAAGTAAAAGCTGCTTAGTTTTCTTTGAAAATAATACTATACTTAAAGAAGAAAAGTCAATATATATAAAAAAAAATGTGTTTGAGACAACTGGTTTTTACTACGTTAAAAAATGGTCAAGATCTGCTATGAATAAAAGAGTTAGAAAATAAATTCAAATGATTCAAGTTGTTATCTATATTTAGAATAATAAATAAAGTATTATTATATCTAAAATAAAAAGATTTAAGTAATTTTTCTTTCTTGTAAAATTACTTTTAAAATCTTTAGATATAGTTAAATTACATCTAGATTTTCAAATCAAATTTAGTGATTATTTAAAAATTAAATCATAAAAAGTAGATAAAATGATAAGGGTCTTTTGTTGATTATTAGTAAAGTTATTGATAAATCTATAAAAGTGAGAAGAAACAATTCTAAAGTTTTGAATAGATCAGATTAGATCAGATAATTGACTTGAGCGGTTTGTCTTAGGACATATTAATATATTAATATATTAATATGTTCTAGGACAAACCGCTTGTACAAGATTAATATGTCTTAGAACGTTATAATATGTAAATTAATATGTTTTAGGACATTATAGTATATTGATTAATATGTCCTAGGGCATTATAGTCTATTGATTAATTTGTCCTAAAGATGGGGATCTGCTTCCCTCTCTATGACCTGTTGGTTAGTAAATATAGATGAGGTTTATGCCTATTTAGTTGCCTTTTATAATACTGAAATGGTGTAAAAAAAGAGGCAACAGTGACACAGTGTATTTGCGATTAATTTTGATGAGGATTGAACTACTGGATTCAGTAGGTTCTGATTTATCCAACAAGCCTAAATTCACATAAATCCGATCAGTGAATGTCGAGATATTATCCTTCAAAGTTCAGGCAAAAAAATATATATACTCTATATTATGTTTTAGCCAATTAGATCGCCTGAATATAACTGCGTGATCATGTGACACTGCGTGGACT